TTGCAATATGCACGAGAGGATACGGCCGTCTCTGTGCCTCTCGCGCGCTTTTGTACACTCGGCCCTCGGCTATTCATGAGTAGCCACGGTCCCGGAGTAATCGTCCTATAACGAACGACGTCCTTGCCTCCCCCCGAAGGACTTAGAAGGGGGATATTGACATTCGGCGGAGATCGATCGTGCCCGCCTCCCCGATAAATCGGACCGGAGCGATATTTCGCCTCTTGATCCCCGGTCCCTAATTTCGTGGCACTTCGATCACTTCTATTGTGCTGTCGAAATTCAGAATTAGACGATCCTATTTAGCAACGAGAGAGACCGCGCGGTGGGAATACGCGCGGCGGGGAAGTTAACCGTCAGTTATTTTAGAACTGGAAATTCGAACTCGATTGCACGTTTAATTTGCGGATCTGTTTATCATTAATGTCTTGCGATTGGGTATAAAATTGGATTACCGATGTTTAAAATTTATCGCAACGTAAATTTGACTTTTGAGAAATTTAACGTTTATTTTTAGTAGCTTCGATATGAAAACGCGCGATGGCTCTATCGATTATCGATTACCTTGTCGATTCTTTCACGCGCAATTACGGAGACGACGAGGATAAACGAAACGGAGGTAAAGTGCCGAATGCGATACGTTTCACGTTAGATCAATCGAGATACTTTAGATTTTACATTTGCGGAGGTACTTTTCATTAATTTGATATGTTAAGCTGCTCAGCACGCTGAATCAATATTATGTCATATAACAAATTTGCTTTTAATGGTCTACAAAGGCGGTCTACGACGACTGAATTAAGTAGATTCCATTGAACGTGGAAAATCAGAAAGGAATCGAGAGAAGGGGAAAAAAAAGGTAAAAAAAGGCCAAGGGAAGATCGGGGCGCGTGCACGGCTTAACTCCGCGGACTGGTTCTTTACGACCGTGGCTATAAAGTTCCCGCTAATTCCGTCTTGCGAGAACTTTTTCTCAGAGGTACGAAGACGGACAAAAATATCGTCGCGGAAGTTCCTTTGATAAGCGCATCTCGAAGGAGGCGGTATAGCCGACTTACTAAAAGGCAGTTAATCCCGCGAGGTGAGATTTGGATGGATAAGACCTCCGCGGTTTCCGGGATCTCGTGACGGAGTAACGACCAGCGAAAAGTGAACCGACAGTTTCCGGATCCTCTTTACGAGAGAGGTATGAGTAGAGTGCGTGCGTGTGTGCGTGTGTGTGTGTCTATGTGTTTGCATGTGGATTCCGCGTGTGCTCTAAACTGTTTGAGCAAAGAGCCATAACTATTTGCAATCTGTAACCATCTATGCAAACTCTTGCGATTTAGTAATAGAGGGATTATATTATACATCACGATATTACCATGAGGATTCTCATACGTTGCACAAATTTTCCGGGATCCTCCGGAAAAAAAATATCGCTTCCCTTCCGTTCTTTGTGGAGATGGTAATCAAGTTCAAGAGTTTATTCCGACTTGATCTATAAAAGGGCGAGGGGGATAAGCCGGTGTCGCGAATAAAGTTTGCGGTAAGCACGGCTTGCGAACTGACAAAACGAATCTCTTAAATCCGAAATTTCCGATGCGGTTCAAACTTGGCGAACATTCGGGAGGGATCGCGCGAGCTCAGACGTATCCGTCTCGTGGAAAAACGATCCATTAAAGATACCCCGACATAATTTCGCCTCGGCTCGAATGTTTTCAGAAGCGGGGCAAACGTCGGAACAATGTTTAAATAAAAATTTTGTAGCTCTCTCTCGATTCTGCACTCTTTCCGCCGATATATCCAACAAAGATATCCAACAAAGATATATAACGGAAAATATGGAGAATCGACGCGATAGTATCCGATCTACCCTCTTTTCAACGGACCTATAATTTACTCATCTTTTTAATAATCGTGAATTTTTTTCACTCGGACATTACGAAGTTATCGTTGGAAATTAGAATACATTTTGCGTTTGAAATAAACTAAATATAAAATTTTATTCGAAACAACCCCGATATAAAATTACGGGCAAAGATCGTATTTTTCAACGGATTTAAAGTAGATTTGCCTCGAAATTCAATTTGAGGCATAATCGCGCAAAAATATATTCAACGTTACGCGGTTTTATCTAAAACTTTTAAGGGAAGACCTTCTCCGATACGTTCATATTCGCGGACGAATCTCTCTCTCTCCTTTTTTTCCGCGCTTCCTTTTCTATTTCGAGAATTTTGATGGGCAAGGGGTTTGAAATCCGATCCCACCGCATAACGTAATACCCAAAAGCACTCGCGCAATAATGGAGCCATCGTGTCATTCGGCCGGCGAAGGAGGCACACGCGGAGTTTCAAATCGAAATGGTCGAGGAAGGAGGATGACGGCCAAAGGTGGGGGCCGCAGACAGGGTGGCATCCCCCGGGACTGAGAAATCCGTTTCTGGGCAAACTGTCTTGCGAGTAGTTCGCCGGATAGTTTCGGATCCAGATTCCCGGGAGTTAAGCCAAACCGCCTTCTCAAGCGAGACGACACGAGGATCGTCCCCTCTAGCCTCTTTCTCCCTCCCTCCTCCTCCTCCTCGCTCTCTCCCTCTCTCTCTTTAGTGGCATGACAGTGCGGTCCCAATGGCTGAAATGAGATCCGTTTGCTACTCCTAGTTACGGGAATAACGCACCGAGGCCGGATTTATGACGACCGGGGTCAAATAAATCGCGAATTATACGACTTGACGAGCACTTTGAGAAGCTTTCTACGTCCCCCCGACCCCCATCCCTCTCCCGACGACTTCTTGGAATTTATCACCATTTAACCCATTTAACCCTTTCGGAGACAGTCTATCCGTTATGCGAAATATTTGCATCTTTTATGAGATATTCTTACACTCTCATAGACAACTGGAATTTCTTCTGGACGGACCCTTTGGATGGATATTAACGTTTACGTGGTATTCTCTTGTCCGCAACGACAGACTCCGACGAACTTGGTAATTAAAAAACTTTCAAACTTTATGTACAATGTTACAAATTGACAGACGCTTCGGTTTAGACTTTTTTATTAATTTTCAGCCCTTAAAGACTTAAATGGGATCACATAGACCTTCTAGAATGAAAAAAGAAAAATAGAATGTTCGATTACATTTACTTCTGAATGACTCGAATGAGAGAAATACAATTTCAAGTCGAGTTTACAGCAATAATCATCCGGAATGACTCGTAGGGTTTCATTCCGGCGCCTAATCTAACGCGATCGTAAATTGTATATTCGTGCGTTCGAAGGCGAGCCAACTTGGCGTAAACTTGAACATGAACATACGAGATGATTTCTGTTTCTCGAATTTCGCGCTGATACTGCAACGGGATGTTCCGTCGCCGAACGTTTTGTTTTTCGCTGTGGGAACGATTTTGAAAATCGAGCCGCGAGCATGGGTAGAAGTACTTATCCTAGTCTAATAACGCCGTCGTCGTCGGGGTTATCGTCGAGTGGAGGCTACAGAAGCAACTGCGCGCTCTCTTTCTCTCCCTCGTCTCCCCTCGACTTTTCTCGCTCTTTCCACAGGGGTCGAATTACCCTTCTTGCTCACAACGACACAAACCCCGCTGGAAAACTTGGCATAGTTCGGGCGCCACTATCTATTCAATTTTCGCCAAGTTGGCGAAGTCGTTGCCAGGAAAGCCGACCAACCAGCCGGACGTTTTGTCTTTTCTCGCCTCTCGCGCCTTCTTTCTCGCGAAAGAAAGATGATGGAAGTCGCTTACAGTGAAAGAAAGAGAAGAGTGGAAAGGAAAAAAAATGAGAGAGAGGGGAGGGAGACGCGTGTTTGCCGAGCAAACTGACATCTTGGAGTTACTTATGACGTTAGATAGCGGAAAAATGCACATTTCTGTCGGCCAGAATGATTTTTCATTTCGTATCTCGGCGATGTATAACATTTAAATCGTAATGCTATTTCTTTATCATTTTGCACGTTCCTTATTGATCCATTTCTTTCGGTGAAAGTTATATTTTTGTATATCCACGGATGTTCTGCTAATTTGTATCTGGTATAAAGATTCATCTGTGTGCTATCGGAATCTATGTCAGAGCGTTCAATGTGTGTGTGTGTGTGTGTGTGTGTGTGTGTGTGTGTGTGTGTGTGTGTGTGTGTGTGAATAAACAAAAATACCAGCAACTTCGTTTTTGTTCAGAAGGTATCCTGAATTAATTTGTGTCAGATACACGAATATAAATAAAACAGTAATGAGAGGGACAATGAACACGATTCTTGCGACAGAACACTTTTTTTCTATATTTTCGACAATAATATTATTCATAAATAGATCACATGGCGCCAAGCTATAAACAGCTTTGTACAATTTAAAATGGAATTTACAAACTTACGACGCACCGGGGAAAGGATCTACCCTGTTTTTGCGTAAAAGAAATTTAATCTTTCTATCCATGTCCTCATTGTAGATTGCCTTGCATGTCTCGAAGTTGATTCTACGTCTAACCTGAGTTGGCTTCTCATAATACCTTGTGCGTCTGTACTGTCCAAAGATGTCCTCTTTGGACAATATATGGTTTAGCACGCGACATGCTTTGTCCACATCATTGTTCTGCACAAAGATCGTACGGCTAATGAATTGAGCGTGCCGTGCAAGACCCATCTGGAATATAACATCAGGAATAATTATATGTGCACCTCTGTATTTTATTATCTTCATATGTATAGGAATGTTTATATATAGGAAATTTACTGCCTTTACATCCTTTCAGGATGTAAAATATATGTAACAAGTACTCTAAAACATGTTATCAGAATTAAAGATTCTGATCATTATTTATAACTCAGATTGTGATTTTAGAAGAGAAAATACATATATAAAATTCATGCCAATGTATTAAAATAGAAATATTTTTTAACATTTGCAATTAATAAAATAAATTTATAACATGGATTAAGAATTCTTATTTCAGAAATGAATTAAATCACATTTATTTCTATATATTATTAATTGGACAGTTATCATAGTTCTGAATATATTTCCTAGTAAACACAAAATAACAATGATATTACATTAATGTTGTACAATTTCCTATTCACAAATGTAACTGTTATGTACAATATGTATCATATTATATTCATAAGGTTGAAAGGGAAATTATAATATTGATGTAATGTTACTATTATTATATTAATTTATGTTTACTGGATTATTTCATTTTTTGCATAACTTATTTTCAGATATATAATTATTTATTAATAAAACAAAAGGAAAGTTTTCAGTATATTTTACAAATAGGTTCTACCGATAAATGTTGTTTTATTGAAACATATTTTCATTTTAATATATTTTGCAATTTTTATTATATACTTTCTCACTTCTGATGTCACAGTCTGCAGTGGTGAATGAACAGATGCTTCAAAATAATGATGAATGAACAGGAATAAGTACAATGTTAGAGAAAATATCAAAATTTATTTCGTTAGATATAATATTATGAGTTCCAAATTATTGACTATCTTCACTTCACTTTTAGGTTAAGTTGGGAAACGTCAATCAAACGCTTAATCTTCGAGTCGATTCCGATAAAAATACTTTTCGCGCAGCTATCAGAATTAATTCTATTTTTCCCTTCAAATGTGTTGTGCGAAATTTTTAATTCATTCGCACATTAATACTTACTTTCAAATTTGATACTCAAAACGACGCAACAGCTCTCCGCTAAAAACTGAGCAGATTACTCCATCTAGCGGTGACAAAACCGAACTGACACTTGATTTTGTTAAATAATCCGATTAATTATTGATCGCTTCCGGCGGGTAATCGTAAAACAATCGTATATGTCCCAGGAATATAACGTTCAGTAGCGTGATAATAATAAAATAAACTACCAAACAATAAACAATCTGAAAAATAAACGTGAATTTTAGGTGCGGAAATTTTTGTCGGAAAATCGAATGCGAATTCACATAGCAAAATTTGATCCTAGATATATCCTATAAATATACATCGAGGGATTTTCTATAAAAGGGAATATCTACAGGACATATTTAAACATTTTTAGGTAGTAAAATATATTAAGGATTTAAATATCTGCTTATCCAATATCTTTGTAATATCCTCATTTAGATATTATTAGAATGTTCTTGAATAACCAAATTTATTCCTAGTCATATATATGTAATAAGTCCTAAAATATCTTTTAAGCTTTTGACAGATTTTATTCAGAGAAACTTTTAAATAAATTTTAAATAAATCGTAAATCCATAATTAATGTTCTCAATATCGCTTTCTTTCTATTCATTAAATTATTTATTATGTTTTTTATCAATATCTTGCATATACAATTTTTACATATGTAATAATATATATCATCTATAAATTTGAAAAATCAAATAAAGACTGGAAGTTTTAAGAAATATGAAAAGTAATAAATATTTCATCAGATATTATTATACAAATTTAACTAATCCAAATATATCCACATTATTTTATGTTTGTGTAAATATTGTACATGTTACATACATATTGACAGAAATTAAAAAAATGCATTTTATCTATGATAATTTAAACATTTTTTTTAGATTACAAAATATGATATCCTCCGAACATTTTAATGCAATAACAAGTTTAATACGACAATTACAAATATCTCGAAATAGAAAAAAAAACAAGATGAGTTTATATCTCAAAATGGAATCAAACCGACAAATTAGGATTATTTCAAGAAGATGTAGGTCATGTAGAGACAGAAATACTTCTGCGAGCGAATTACTTCTCGGTCCTTCAGATTGTAGCCGAATCCCCATCGACACACGCAAAGCCAGGCGCACAACGAGAGCATGAGTAAAACAAGGGCGGACGGAGAAGCATGTATGTGCACGACGAACATTTGCTCATGCCGTTCCTATTTTCCCTTCAGTTTTTTTGCGTGATGCATATTATTGCGAAAATTACTCTATCGCTTTTGTCAAATCCATTTGACAGGGCCCCGCTCGTCTCCATCTCAAAATATACAAGTTCTTCGTCCTCGCAGCCTTTGAAGACCTAATCGGTTCCGTCGGAGCTCTCGCGAGAATAATGATTTATTCTATCGCTCTCTTAGCAGGTTGTCGATAATTCACGCGACATTTTCACATTTGCGATTTTATCGGAGCATCCACGAGATCGTATCACGGATGTATCCTCGGAATAACTGAAAATTTTGCAAAGTTAACCAAATAAACGAAGAGATTGACGACTGACCTGTTAGAAAATGGTTTATTTCAGACAGCGCCAATATCGATACGCATTGCAAATGCAATAATTAAATTTTCTTTTTTTTTTTTTGTTATAAGCGGCAAAGCTCTGGTATTCCGGTAAGCGAGATTAGTGATAACCGTTTGATCAATACTGCGCTATCCTCCTCAGTGTGGATATAGTTAGAGTTATGCCAAGCTCGAACATGAATATTTTCTAAGAGACTCCGTTTATCCTTTAATGTTCGCCATAAAAGATGCCACCGAAGAGAAAGAAAGAGAGTGTGCCGAAGAAAGAAATCGTGCAGGAGCCGGAATCTGAGTAAGCAAATAAAAATTTCATGAATTTAAACAAATTGTCCTACGATAATCCAATTGCGTTTCTGTATTGTTAGTAGCTTGTTTATTTTATTTTACAATATTAATTATAGCACAGTATTTTTAGATAAGAACATTACTTTGAATTTTTTGTTTAACAATAAAAGAATTTGAGATATTTTCTCGAAAATAAATAAGACTACGAAAAACATTTATAAAATTACATAATAAATTCTTGCATGAAATTTATGATTTACAATTGAATATATTTAAGAAAATACATAGAAACACTGATCTTTTGTAAAATATTAGTAGCTATTTGTGTAATTAATTAATTAATATATTTTGGCAAAATGATGCCAATATGGCGAATTATCTTAGCACAATCACGTTAAATTTTTCATCATTTTTTTATATCATTTTATATGATGTTTACACAATTTGTCTGTCTGGAACGAAGTCAGAATTAAGTGATTCATTTTCGCAGGCCGGAGCCGGAAGTCGTGGTGACGACCGAGCCGGAACCCCCGAAACAGGTGTCTTTGCTCACCGGAGAACCTTATGGACCTCGAGTTCGTATTATCAGCGAGAAAGCCGAGGAGGAGAGCTCGGATGATGAACCAGAATCGCAGAGCGAGGAAGAGAGATATCAAGAAGATCAATTGGAAGTGCCTTCCGAATTCTGGCACATACAAAAGCTATTCAAGTACATGAAGGCTGGCAATCAGACTGCCACTATGGTGTCTTTGTGCTTATTGAAGGATTATGATCTCACTGACAAGGTTCGTTACGTTTTTCTTATAAGATCATGTCACAGTTAGAAAAATCAGTGATTACGTACAATCCAATGAACAAGTTATTTATAGTATGTCAGCAGATTGCTTGCAATTTGAAATTGCTAACAAATTGATATCAACCATGTTTGTATTGCCAACGTACATCAATATATATATAACGAAATCAAAATCTCGGTTTCTGTGATGAATTTGCCATATTTTATTAATGGATTTTTGATATCTCTGATAAAATTTGGTTAACAGTATTAATTTGCCAAATCCCCTGTATCGAATTTGTGGTTCTTCCGTTGACGAAATTTGTAGCAAACACTTTGCAGAATTTATTTTCGATAATTGACTAATTGAACTGATCGAAAAAAATAAATAAACTTTATATATAAATTTATCATTCGGATCCTTTTTTATTCATGAATTCTTTATTTTTTCCATTTAGGATAATATCTCTGTCTTATATCAAACTTATTTATTATGGTAGTGCAGATCATACAGAAGGCCATTCAAGAAATGGGCGGTCTTGAGGTTCTGGTGAATCTCCTCGAGACAAATGACATTAAATGCCAAAACGGTTCGTTATCGGTTCTACTACAAATCGCAACTTCCACAGAAATGAAGAGATATTTAATTGACTTGGACATCGCAACGCCGTTAATTCAAATGCTGAAGCATCCTGCTAGAAATATTCAGGTTATTCGTTGATTCTTATCTCAATAACTTTTTTGGAATTTATCTGATCTTTTAATCCATTGTATGAAAGAAATTTAATTTAGATCCGATCGGTTTATCGGTCAGTGAAATTTCCAAATAAGTTTCAATGAATTGAAAATGTTGAAATTCCAAATTTCTCATCTTTTTATGTCTCTACTATTATATTATTTGTTTTATAGAATTATATAATATTCAATTAAAATTCGTCTCTTTAGATTTTGGCAGCCGAAACGATGGCCATTATAGCTCGGATCAGGAAGGCCAGAAAACAGATCAGAATTCGCGGTGGAATACCTCTCATAGTAAGTTATTATTGCAATTAATTGATCAACACAAATTAGTCATTTTACAATTTTTCAAATACGCGCAATAAACTTGAATTTTAAATTAAAAAAAAAAAACAATTTTTTTGATGTGGTCAGCGTAGCAACTAATTAACTTCTGAATTTTGATTTAACAGTTAGACGTGATGGACGTGCCGGACGAAGTTCTCCGTCGACCGTACGACGAATTGAGCGAAGCCAGTAAAGAACTTGTGACAGTTGCCATAGGTTGTGCCAAGGTCTTGGATTCTTTGGGCAGCAGCCCAAAGATCAAGGAGGAACTTCGCAAACACGGCGTCGTTCGCTTGATGTCGCGTTTTCTGAGATCAAAACACACCCAGCTGATCATACCCACGATGGGCGTCGTGCAGCAGTGCGCTGACCTGGTTTATTGAATTTTTTTTGCAATTTATGCCATCTGTTAATAGTATTATGCTAGTATTAGAGTAGAGATTAAGATTAAGATTTAGATTGATCAGTCCGAACAAAGTAGTTTATTAAATTTGCATTGGTTTTCTTTTTCTGATTGGTTAAATTCTAATCTAATATCAATCTCTAGTCTGATGTCTGCTTTAATCAAAATAATATATAATTTATATCTATGGATGATTATAAACAATTTTAAAGTCGATATAAAAAAAAAATTTTCTCTTAATATCAGAAAAAGACACTTTTGCTGAAGTATCCAATAATTTATCCAGATCTGAAAATAATTTTGTCGAGTTATTAAAATATTTATGTTCGAATTGGTTGATACAAGATACAAAAAATTTACATTATTATCATATTATTTAAATATATAATAATTTTGATGATTCAATAAAATTATTTCCAGATCTATGTCTGACCAAATTTTTAGACACTCAAAGCAAAATCATTTTTTTCCACATATTTATTCGCGTATTTGCAGAACGTTTTCAGAGAAGCGTTCGAGCGAGCGGGCATCATCGATGACCTGGTGCGACATTTGAAGAATGACAATGTGAAGCTAAAGGAGAACTCTGCCCTGGCCATCTTCAAGTGCGCCTCGAGTCGGGAAACTCGGGCAATGGTGCGTCGAGCCGGCGGTTTAGATCCACTTTGCAAACTCGTACAGAGCGATGAGGTGTACGCCAACAAGCGCCTGCTGGCCGCGGTCACCGGCGGTGTTTGGAAGTGTGCCATCAGTCCAGAGAACATAATGAGGTTCAATCAGAACAATCTGGTCGCGTCGCTGGTGCCCCTGCTCGAGGAGAACGAGGACGAGCGAGTGTTGGCCAACGTCGTGGGTGCTCTCGCTGAATGTTGTAAAGATCCCGCTAACAGGAATGTCTTGAGAATTAACGAGGGCCTGCCGAAACTGGTAAAGACCGTTCAAAGTCGGAAGTGCACTTCTACCCGCGGGTTTCTTTTCTTTCCGCCGCGCATCGAATCGAACTTCGAATCTTCGCGTTTAACTCCGCATGTCTGCATACTAAAATAACAAATAAGAATAGACATGTATACGAAATACGAAATTACAATTACTACAAAATTACTATATATGTAGTGTCATGGAAAGTTAACTTCTTTTTTTAAAAAAAATAACAGATATAATGTCACTTTAATGTGTATTAATGATGATTAAAAAAATCTGTACTGAAAAAGGAAAAAAATGTAAAAATATGAGCTACAGAGGATGACATTTTTCTCAAATTTAGAAACGTTTAGATTAAAATAATAAAACTTCTCCAATTGTTAGGTAAATTCTCATAATTGACAATAATTTGATAATAATTATCAGTTTTGTTATTGAAATATCGCCGCATTGATCTGTTTACGTTTAATTATCCTAGTTGAGATAATTTCTAAATGAGACGAAAATTTAATTGCACGTTGGAGAGGGTTCGCGAGTACCGCTCCCGCGATGATTAATCGAGTTAACGTGCACCCCACCATTCCCGCGACGATCGATGCCTCCTCCGTTACTCCGGTATCGGCGATACTGCAGAATGAATACTTCGGGTAACCTTTGCAGATTAGACAGTTGAGCGCCACGTACGAGCCGTTACTGGAGAACGTGCCGCTGGTGCTAAAAGAGTGCGCCGTCGATGAGAGATGCATGGACATTATTAACGACCAGGAGCATCGGCTGGACGGGGTGCGGTTGGTCTGGTCCCTGCTGAAACACCCCAGTGACGTGATCAAGCGTAACGCCTGCTTCGCCCTGGTACCCTGCATCCGGCACGCCAAGGACTCGCCGGAGATGGTACGCGCCTTCGTGGGCGGCCTCGAGCTCACGGTCAGCCTCCTGGAGAGCAAGGACACGGAAGTGCTCAGCGCGGTCTGCGCCATGATCGCGGAGATCGCCACTGATCCCGAGAACCTGGGCATCCTGACGGATCATGGCGTTGTGAAGAAACTAGCTGCTCTTGTGGAAACTGTTGGTTCAGCGCCGTTTAAGAGAGAAAACAATTTCTTCTCGAATTTTTGCGCGGTTGCTTCAGAAGAAAGAATGAATGTTTGATATGTGTTTGCAAGAATGATGATTTTTTTATTTTTCATTTTTTCATTTTTCATATAAGTCACCGACGAACGACTCCACTTATCTTTGCAGATATACGAAATAAGACAAAGTCAAGTTGTGCTCTTCGTTAATTTTTTTTTAATATTTTGTTAATTATCTATATGGCACAAACATTGCAGTTATTGCATTTAATAATTTAATTGCAATATTTAAAGATTACGTTTTCTGAAGCAATCGCATTTAGATATTTTACTGGTTGTTATAAATATTTTTAATCGGAGTGTTAATAATGCGATGTTTGTTTTTCTAAGGATGATGAAAATTTGCGCGCTAATCTAACATTAGCGATAGCCTATTGCTGTGAATGGAATCAAAATAGTTATGAATTCGGCAAATTGAACGCGGTCGCGCCGCTCGTTAATTACATGACCAGCAAGAACAAGAACGTGTTGAAGGGTGTTTGCATTGCCGTGTACCATTTGAGCAAGGAGCCCTTAAATTGCGTGACCATGCACACCTGCGGTGTTATTAAGGTACAATTAGGCACTTACACATATGCGATATTAATATTAATAGTATTAGTTGATATTAAAAGGACGTAATTCTACAAAATTAATTTTCCGAAATTAAGAGAGAATTTAATATATTCATTACCAATGTATTTATTTCTTTGTTTCCAAATAAATTTCAAGAAATAAATACATTGATAATAAATACATTAACAATAATTTACATTATAAACATTTAATAACCTTTTTTAATATGCATCAATAGATATCTCTATAAACAGAATTTGTAATAAAAAAAATTTTTATTACATATTTAGGGAATTTCGTTTTTTAATATAGAATACTTGCTTAATACCGCTTTGATATACCAAGATAAATCACATTTTCGGTGCTTGTTGTTTTTGCAAAATCTAAATTGAATATTTATATTTGACGTGTGTATGAAATTTTCAAATAGCACGTATTGCGCTTGGTGGGCTCGGATGATCCAGAGGTACAGATTGCAGCTGCGTCCACTATACGTCATATAAGGAAGCTCGCATTGACAGCAGAAAAATTCCACTTCAAAGAAATGTAATTCTTTTTTCATGAATTCGAATCCTAAGAGCTTAAAAAAATTCTATTTAAATTAAAACTAATCATATTTGTTCTTTTATAACTACAAATATCAGCAAATTTTTAATTTCTGTATGATAAATAATTACTGAAACGAATATTCATCTCGTCACGATTTATTTATGGAAACTTAGTATTATGCATTTATGTATAATTTATTTGCGCTCTTTAGGATTTAAATGTTTTATTTTGCTTTTTAGTATTTAATGAAACTGCTATGTAATCATTTGTTTTCCGCAGGAACTCATTACAGGAAATCGATTTCCGTTTATGAAGGATATCCTGGTACCAGCAAGAGAGATAGAAAAAAAAAGGAAGCATTTAAAATAAAAACATATTTATTGTGGTGCGCGTAGTAATTTATAATTTTTGTCAATATCTCTAAATTTACAATTTTATTTAAAACCCGTTTGTTTATCCTCCTTTCGGTAACAACCAGTAACACCATATGAAAAACTTTAAGAGTGATGGAAGAAAGACATAGAAAAATTGCCCTCAGATTTTCGTAGGATCCACAAATGGAATACCGATTTAATCGGATACGTAGTCATTAATTATTAAGTTGTACAATATCAAGATGGTGGCTTAATTTGAGCAATATACACATATTCTAAGCTTGTATCTGTACTTCAAAATCGAAGCTATTCGAGGACGTAAGAATATTAACAAATACGAAGATAATTGCATGCAAGTTACGACGCAACCTCATACGTGTGATTTACAAATTTAAACTAATTGTGCGTGTCGTTTTATTGACGACTAACTAGAAGGCATAATTCTCGATTATTTTCGAAAGATTCACCTTATTGTGATGGACAATGTAATAATCAAATGGCAACATTTGTTATTAAAATTTTTAATTAAATTAGATTTATCGACGCATCTTTTACGTATTTCGATATATTTATATATCGTTTTATATACCGTTTTCGATGACCTTGCATTTTTATTTTCAAACTATCCTTCCCAGCGTCTTATCGGTAATGCCTAAACAACTTACCTAATAATACCTAATAAAAGTTGATTTCACCAACATTGATTTTATCTATTTCAAAATACTGCACATATTTTAAAACATCTTCTTGACATATAATAATTAATAATTAATGATCAAATAATTAATTTAGAGAAAGATAAAGATAATTTCAATAAATCAGATAAAAGAGTTTAATATTGGTGAAACATTCCTCTAAAACTAAAGTATTCTAACACAAGTATATCATCAATGATTACTCAAATGGCAAAACACATGTGACCAGTTTATCCTATTATTACAAAAACACTCCAGGTTTTATTTTCAGTTGGCTTGAAATTGCTACGACGATAAGCCAAGTGACTGAAAATAAAATACCTATTTCCATATCACGCTAGAACTTGTTTTATACCACACTGTTTTATAATTCCAAAACCAGACTATTATACTGTAAATGATTTATTTTTCAGAGGGAGGCTCGTTTCGTGCGTCCTTCATATTCGCTATCTATTCACAATTTTGGACAGCTTTGGTTTTCCCTGATCCCTGATTTGACAGTTGCTTATTGTAACTAAGATAATAAAATTTTCCACTTGGCATTTTTTGTTTTTGTTAATTGTTAATAATATTCGATAATATTCGATAATATCCAGCAAAGCACAAAAACACACTGTCTCTCTCTGCTAGGAATGAGTAAAAAGGAAAAGACACAAATGGACTTTCTTTTTGTTTGATTTACAGCTTTCTTCATTCAATCTTGCTTGTTGGTTAACAATGCATCAGCTGCAGTTTTAACTGCTGCAAAAATAATATGTCCTTATATTTTGTGCTTTGATTTATATCACACAAGTAAATATTCCTCTATATCAAATTCTATTTTATAAAAGTCAAATTATTTGTTTCATTAAAAATAATGATCTTACCTGTATCACGTGCAGTAGACAAAAATCTGTCTAATCCAGGCTGATATTGGATGAACTTTGGACGGATGATACGGCGATATAGAATCAAGGAACCATTATACTCGGTTGGTGCCATCAGCCATATATAGAATATACACTACATCACAAAAGTCATAATTCATATTTTGCTTCAGAATGTATCTTTAAAATATATCTTTCAAACTTATACCTTAAACAGCCAATAAACTGGAAACCAACAGACAATATACTCCGAAAAGAACTCTATTATAGTAAATACTGCAAAAACGACCCAATAAGTAAGCCATTTTGTGTCATCTTCTTTCTTGGGACTTTCCAGTGCCTTCATAGATTGGTATGCAGGGTAAACAAAGCCAACTATATTACAAACTAGTTGTTGCCCTAATCCAAATACGAGGTATATCGCCAGCAATATCAATGATCCTATCAAAATAAAGAAAAAAAAAAATAAATAATTTCTCTGAAATATTCCTATTTAAATTTAACTGCTGTTCGTATATAAGAATTTTTTACTACAAGGCAGAAAAGTCAATATCCTCTGAAAGCAACATGATGACCCAAATGAGGATCAACAGGTTGCAAGGATTTTCGGGAGGAAGCGAGACATATTTATCGAAGAAGGAAGCAATGTAACGCAAAAGCAAGGAAAAAAAATCGAGCACGTAGAACTCGTTATTGCGTAACGAGCGCGTGATAACGAGTTCCGAGGAACGGCAAAATCGCATTAGCATATGGTTGAATAATTATCTAAACGCGCGCGATAGGCGGCCAATCAATGGGAATGACTGGAAAATTTGCGTGTAATCGCTATCTCTCGCCGGGCGACTCACCAACGAAAATGTACAGCCGATCGATGCCGGTTTTCTCCTCCGCGAGGGCGAACATCTTCGTCCATGGCTTGCTCTCGTCCTTCAACGCTTTCTCGAGATACTCCTTCACGGCGGCGATTCGAGCCATTTTTCTTTTTCTTCTTTCGTGAAAAAACTTGCCGCGTTTGATAAAACCGTGCGCTCAAACCGCTCCTAGCCGTACACCTGTTCGCCACCAGAGAGAGATATGGCTGACGTTCGATGTCGACTAATCGAGACGGACGTCGTTGCTTCTTTCTTCTTCCGATCGCGGCTCTCGATACTTCTCACGATTCGATTAATCGCTATTCAAGAATGCCGCCGAACACTCGTCCTATCCTTATTATTCAGATTTATCTTGCAAACGTGCCACATTCTTTATAATAAAAAAATGTTTATTATTTTTTACAGATTTATTCTTTTTTTTTATTAACACATTAACAAACGGCTTAGATCTTAGGCGCACGTCGTGTCGGGAAAGATCCTTTCTTCATGGTAACTTGCACGGGAAATAAATAAGGATATAAGTAAATTTAATTTCCCAAATTATTAAGAATGTAGATCCTCTTTTCGGCATCACGGCATTCGGAAGATCACGTTTGATCTTGTCGTAAACGTAAAATATTACACGTGCGTCATCATGGAGCGGAGATTAATTCGATGCTGCAATCACACTCGAATTAATCTGCATTGCAAGGGAGGAATATCAGCTTTCCTTCAACGAAATAATATACATCTTCGAATTGAAGATTCGCGTGTAGCATGTACATCTTTATACAACTAGTTTGTGTTTTGTAAGTCTATGAACATCGAGGATGTAATTGTAAAATATACAATATTTTAGGAAACGATCTTTGAGCAGTTTTAAGCATTTATGGCTGGTCCTAGCCTGGCGTGCGATAAAGGACTGAAGGGTGTCGTGTTCCGGATCTCTTTCTCCAGACAATTCGCATAAATATCGGCAGTAAGCTCACTTAGTGGGATTTCTTTGTCATTCTTGGCAGCTTTCATGGCATCGTCTACCGATTTCCTGATCTCACCCTCTATTGCCTGGAATAAGAAAATGAGAATATTTAATATGATAAAATAAATTAATGCATAATAAAATGTAATAATGAAGATATTGCGACTGACTTTGATCTCCTCCGCAGTGACGAGATTGGCATTCAGGATTCTCTCTTTGAAACTAGTCAAAGGATCTCGAGTCTGTCGGACTTCTTGTACTTCTTCTCGTGTACGATAACTAGTTCCAGGATCCGACATACTGTGTCCGCTATACCTGTATGTCACGGTCTCCATAACGATCGGCCCTTTACCGGACGTACAGTGATCTATTGCGAATTTCGTGGCTTCTCTTACGGCTAAGACATCCATTCCATCTACCTGTAATATGATTTTTACCACATAAATCCACATAAAATACGAATTTTTCGGAAAAGGAAATAAATGTAATGCATTAGTCAAGATAATATTTTTCGTAACAAATTATTTAGATTTTTTAAATGTTTATTAATATCAATAATATTAACATTGATTATCGATCAATGATTGATATATATGGGAAAAATATATTGCAAAAATATTACGCATAAAAATATTATGCATATATTATTAATAGCTGGCTGTTATTTGGTATTTGTCTCTCATTTGTCATTTAAATCTCAAGAGTTATTTATATTTATTTAAATGGAATATACCCATATTCCAGGAATATAGTCGCCTCTGGTATAATACTCCGTGCTTGCTGCGGCACGCTCCACGCTGGTACCCATTCCATATCCATTATTTTCACAAACGAAAATACAGGGCACGTCCCACAACTTAGCCATATTATATACTTCAAACACTTGTCCTTGATTGGCCGCACCATCACCGTATAACGTTAGACAAACCCCGCCAGTATTCATATATTTTTGTGCGAAGGCAATTCCAACTCCCAATGGGACCTAATCGCAACATTAAAATATAAGAAAAAAGAGAAACAATTTTAAACAATATTAAATTAAGTTTAATATCATACAAACCTGAGCGCCAACAATGCCATTTCCTCCATAGAAATTCTTAGAATACATGTGCATGGAGCCACCCTTGCCTTTGGCATTGCCACCTTGTCTGCCTGTAAGTTCTGCGAAGACACCAAATATATCTATGCCCATCAGATATGTCCATCCATGCGCACGATAAGCTGTGATTACAGAATCTTGCGGTCTCATGGCAGCTTTCATACCAACTGCACAAGCTTCCTATAAAAAAACGCAACAAAGAAAAGATTAAAATAAAATTTTGAAGCAAATAAGTGTAAAAGATGATCCTTACTGCAAGATGATCCTTACTTGTCCAGAATACAAATGACAGAAACCTCGAATAATTTTCTCTTTGTACAAATTTCCAGCAGCCGTTTCCATACGACGTATCGTATGTAGCTGCTTAAACAGTTCGATAGCGTCATCTCGTGTCACCGTAATTTGAGTAGATGGGCCATGGTCCAGTTTGTGCAGGCGAAAAGGTTTAGTTTCAAAGGAGGCTTCAGTAGCATAATTATTTTTCTTGCTTAAGAAGAATGAGGCCACCTAAAAATATTACTATATAGTTAAATGCCACAGTGGCATGAGAACATTATAATATTGAACACTGTAACATGTGTGACATTGTAAAGTTTACGCTATCTTGTGAGCCAGTGATAGTGTTCCTTAGAAGCTCAAAATTCTGACTTTTCGTGTTGACATCAATCAAATTCAATCAGATGTACAAGACAGACACAAGGCAGCAGCGTTTACTAGCTATGGCATAACTGAATCGCGAGTGATAATTACCTCGTTCCAGCTTCCAAACTGGCGAGTATGCGAGTTAGTGAAGAAAGAAGAAACTTATGAAATACGGTAGTCGCAAGTAAAACGTATCTAGGATTCGTAACGAGACCCTGACACGGAAAACGCAATGCAGCGCGTTTAGAGGTCACGCGTTACCCGTCTCAGATGCACTTACGTTTCGTCGTGACGATTGCGCGGCGATGTTTCTGAGGCAACTTGGTATCATTTCCCGACAATGAGGAAGGAATTAGCGGATACAGAACTAGTGTCTTGCCACTCTTCGTCTCGCGGAGTGCAAAGCAAAAGAATGTCCCGTTGCTATAAACCACCTTCACTTGACACGAGTCGACATGGACTAGATAGTGTACGAATGAACTGCCCAGAGTGCAGAAGCTCCGCATATAGGGTGATTCAAAACAAACATTTGTTTTTGAAATGTATATTCTTGACTCTATATTCTTAACTCTGAGTTCTTCTTTTCCAAAAAGAAAGTTCTGTTCGGAGTTTAATTTTTGAATT